AATGCGGCATGTCAAAACACCAACAATTCCATGAAAGCGACGGGATGGAGTTATAGCCGATAAAATCAGAGGGGTTGGGCAGAGGTAGTCTCAGGTAGACATGAGCGCGGGAAGGATGGTGCTTTCCAAACGGTTTCCAAGTAGTGATGTTCAGGGCCCGGCCCGGCCTGGATGCCGCGGCTTGGGCCCGGCCTGAGCGGGCTCGGGCTTGGGATTTCTCAAGCCCAAGCCCGAGCCCGCTCAGGCCCTGCCAAGCCGTGGGCCGTGGCCTGAGCCCGGGCTTCATACGCTACAGCATCATCCCTGATGTATCACGACAGTTCAATGATCATGCTTTAGTTATTGTCGGAATTCAACACAGACAGGGAAGAAAATATCATAAGTATCATAATTCCATTTCGTCGTCGACGACGTCAGGTAGTACAGCGGTAGGAAACTCATAATTATCCGGATCATCATCGACGAAAATATCCCAGCTTTTATCCGACTTGCTGGGGGCAAAATCAGCCTCCTCCTCGTCGTCCACCAACGCATCCGGCACACGGAACAGCAAATCGCGTCGCATCATACACTTCAAGAACTGTAGCGCCTCAACGATGTCCCCCTTCAGTCGATTACGGCGCTTGCTGATCGTAATTCCGGCCGATGAAAAGGCACGCTCGGAAGACACAGAAGACGCCATGATTGCGAGGTAGTCGCGAGCAAGGGATCCCCACACCGGATAGCGATGGTAATTGCGCTGTAAGCTGGTTAGACCAATGGTAAACATATAAGAAATGCATTCGCACCCCCCACCACTCGATCGTGGACATTTCTTCGGACACGGTTTCACGCGCTGAAAGATAACCTTGATACTCATCGAGCCAGGGTCGAAGCGGGTCGATATGCGTTGCAGAGAACGCATCAGGCATTGCCTCGTCGTCGTCATCTAGCGGAGTGACGGCACGTTGAAATTTGGTGGGCTTGGTGGACTTCGACGCCTGTGAGGATGCGGACGTCGAAGTGGCGGACTTGTCGGCATGCAATTGGAGGTAGCGGGCTTTGAACTGTAATTTCTGTCAATCCAAATATGAGCCGAAGCGAACAGGACAGGTACCGTTTTCTCCATATTGGACTTCGCTTGATCCTGAAGCGATTTGGGCCAGTGCTTCTGGAAATAGGACAACTTCTTGCGCGGATCGAGAACTGGAAACAGATCAGTGACTGCGAGTTGAGAAGGAAAGTAATCCGTACCCATCGCAAACATGTATGAATTTGAGTTCGACGTCTTTTGATAGTATTCGTCGACTTTCAGAAGCGCAGCGTTCAGTGCCTCATGGAAGACGTCATACTTATCTTTTCCCGCTTTTTGGGTCCATTCCGCGTGCAGCTTCTCCAACGCCGGGATCGCAAGGTGCAGAGTTGACCGAAGATCCGCGGAGAATGCATGCTGGGCGTTTTGCGCACTCTAAAAATGGTATTAGTGCGCGCGATTGTAGTTGTAGTAAAATCGATACCTGAAGGACCTGGAGGAACAGGTCAATCCTAGCCCATTCATCCGCTTCAAGTTTGAGAGCGGCCAATTTGTCGTGCTTGTCGTGGTCGCTCTCCTCGGATGCAATCTCCGTGATAAACTCGTCCACAGACTACATAGAAAGTTAGACGGTGTTGCGATCCAGAGACTTTGATCATACACACCTCCCGGAGTTTCAAGCCGCGGTCCAACATGGAATACGTCGAGGACCAGCGAACCTTCATGTCGAGGATCATTTGCTTGGCAGCCTCGGCCGGATCGGCCCTCCCCCGAAGCTGGATGGTTCGAAAGAGTTCCTTGCGCTTGGCTGAAGAGCGCTCCTGGACAATGTTTAGAGACAGAAATCTGCGGCACATATGCACCCACCTTGACAGCGATCGCGCGGAGAAGACCAATCTCGTCGCGCAGATCAGCGGGCGATGTTGGCTCGCTGGTATCGGGGATGTGCGCGTTTGGATCGTGAGTGTTGAAATGAGAGGCCTTGCTATACGTCGAGATCAACTTCTGTGTTGCAATGTTGATAACGTGTGCGAGGCAGCTGTGATAGATTGATAATAAGAGTGGTTCTCCTTGAGCTGTAAAGACTCACTTTATGCGACGCTCCACGGGGTCCCAAATCTTGCCCGTCTGACGTCGGATCTGGCGCGCGAACTCGACGAGCATGGTGCCGTTATTGGCGGCATTATCACACGTCACATAGCCCACCTACAATCCGTGTAACTCAGCGAAGTGAAGATGATTAACAGACGCAACTCACTCGTCCCACAATATCCAAACGCGCGACAATTTTGTACAAGGCTTGGCCCAAACGCTTGCCGTGATGTGCACTATTGAGGCGCGTGAAACCCAAAAGGGCCTCTTTGAGCACCCAAACACCGGGAGACGACTCCTCCGTCCAGTGCCCTGTCACCACGTAGTATGCATCGGCATTCTCCGCCTGCCAAGCATCGCAGGTGATATGAATCAACCCAGTGACGGCGTCACTCTGCAGAAGCACCATGAGTTACAGTAAACAAACCAACGTATCGATCAGAGGCACGCACATGGAGGCGAATTCTCAACTGGTTCATCTGCTCGTGAAACAGTGAGATTATCTCTTCCCTTGTCTGGGCGCGATTGGGCAAAGTAACACCCTCGGTGGCGCGAGCGGCAATGTCGATCATAGCCTTGAATTTTGGGTGCGTCAGGGCGTCGATGGGCTGTGTCAAAGTATATGTGAGTCGAACAATACCAGTATATATGAATATACTGACTTGATCCGTTGCAATCAACCACTCGAGAGCGGCCTCCATGAGGAGCTCGTCCGTGTAAGGAGCAGGCCGATCCGCCTTCTTCCGGAGGTGCGAGTCGAGAGTCTGTTGATGCAGCTGCGCCTTCTCTGCTGCCTCCGCCTCCGCTTTCGCTGCATCAGCGCGAGCTTTGACATCATCGGACAACTTCGATTCGAAGTTGTTGCTTTTTGCCCACGTGTGATAAGCAGGCTGTCGACTGGCGGGTTAGCTCCGAACGCACGACGAAAGTATAGCGCACCTTGTGATACTTCTGCAAGTGGCGTCGAACGGTCGAGGGATCATACACGGTGTAAACACTGATTGCCATGAATTTTACTCTGCGAATCAACCGAAAATTGACGTACTGGCAAATTTTGCACTTGCGATGCAGCTTCTGTGTCCCACTCGCCCCGATGTGCAGAAAGGGCGCACCACCGAAGTATAGAACATCGGCGGTGGCGGTCTGAACCACCTCGGAGACGTTGATGGGCGGTACATCAACATCGAGGAGCATGCCATCTGCCCCAACCGCAGTGGGATCAGAGCGTGGTGGAGGCTTTGTTTTGGGCTTGTTCGAACGCCGTCTGTCCGCTGCACGACAGGGATATATTAGGAGTGTTGAAATCTCTGGAGAAAAAGACATACCGTCCTTGGTCACGCGATTCGCGTTACCGCCGGGACCAGGTACTAATGTACACATTAGCCTCGGCCAGCCAAAGAGGTAGACGCGACTCACCCGGCTTCTTCGGAGGAGCAGTATCGGTATTTGTATCAGATCCGTTGCCGTTGCCTGCAAAATCGGTCGGCAACATGGTCAGGAAGCAACGATGGAACGCACCTTCGTTATCAGTTTCCACCAGTTCAAAATCATCGTCGTCCAACTCATTTCCGTCCTCGACCGTGACAGTCCCGTTGGCAGCTGCGAGGTAAATTCGAGCGAAATGTAAAGGATGGAGCATACCACGTACTACTTCTGAGTCGTTTCGGTGCTGGGACCTCTTCCACATCAGAGGATGCTGCATCCGACGTGCGCTTGCGCCTTTTCGACGCCGGTGAAGCTTCACGGGAGGGAGAAATGGTCTCCTTCGCGCTACGCGTAGTCAGAATGAATATAAATTAATAGATTCGTCGGACAACAACGTACCAAAGAAATTCAAGCTCTGTGATGATGCGCTGGAGTTTAATCGTCGCAATGTCGACTAGCATATCCCCCCACTCGATTGTTTTGAGGTACTTCACCACAAGCGCCATGCCGTTGTTCCCACGTCGGATAGAATGGAGGCGGCCGTTGGAGTCACGACAATCTTCCCCAAAAAGGAGGTCCATGCGGCGATTGAAGGTGCTAGGAGCATCCTTGTCGGGGCCTTCGACATTGTTGATGACGTTGCAAATCTGGTCACTCCTTTTTGCGACCTTGACACTGTCTGGAAGTTTTCGGGAGAGGGCGCTGATCGAATCCACCAGAGCTTCCATGGCGGCACCTGATTATAAGTGTTAGGAAATGCGACAGCAATTGAGGAACAATTGACGCTAAGTTACTTACATGCAATCTCCCCATTGTCAGGATTCGTGAGAGCATCAGCAGGTTTGCGTGCTCTCTCGGACTTGCGATTTGCAGCCACTGGGTCACCGTCGTGCGCCGAAGCCATGGCGAGCCGCGAGAGAACGGGGACAGAAAGGAGGCTTGTAAGAGGCTGAGAAAGGTGACATGAGCTCAATGGGTTTTATACGCGTACTCTGCCGAGAGGCGGCATTGCTAGACGCGTCCAGTACTGTATATGAGCTCGTTGGATTAGGAAGAGAAAGAGCTGACGCGTACAGTCACATCAAGTCACACCGTACTCTGCCGAGACCCGGCACTGCTAGGCGCGTCCAGCATGGGGCTAACGATGAACACGTATATAAGCTCGCCAGATTAATCCACATACCAGTCCGCTGGCCCCGCAAGCGCCTCCGAGGCAAACAGTGAGCGCATTACTCCGAATTCATTGGCTCTGGCAAACCCAGGCCGCGGCTTCGCGGGCCGGCTCGGGCTTGGAAATCCCCAAGCCCAAGCCCTGGGCCCGCTGAAGCCCTGTGTCGGGCCCGGCCCGGCTTGATGAAGCCCGGGCCCGGCTTGGCGGGCTCAGGGCTTGAAGCCGGGCCCTGAACATCACTATTTCCAAGTGAAGTCTGAGTCTGAAGTGGAGAACCACGACCCAGGAACCAAACAAAAATTCCCGCTAGCCGGATTGAACGACTGACCTCATCATAGAACTCAATTGTCCGATACATACGAGTGATGCGCTCTACCACTGAGCTCAGAGGGAGTCCTACCCAGTGTGAGTGGGTCAACCCCACCCAGAAGGTCAATGCACAGTGAGTGAGTACACAAGAACCAGAGTTAATGGCTAGAGAGTGCACAAGAACCAGTCGATAACATCAGTTAAAACTGGGAAGATTGAAAAAAATTCATATGAGATATTTTGCCCAGCCTATAGAATTGACACTTCAGTGTGAGTGGGTGCACTCAACCTCAGGGGTCAATGCACAGTGAGTGAGTACACAAGAACGAGAGTTAATGGATAGAGTGCACAAGAACTAGTCAACAACACTAGTTCAAACGGGGAAGATTGAATAAGTTTCAGACAAAGCATTTTTGGCACAGCCTATAGGGATGACACTGCCAGTGTGAGTGAGTGCACTCCACCAAGACGGTGAGTGAGTACACAAGAACCAGAGTTAATGGACAGATGGCGCAGAAGAAGTAGTCAACAACAGTAGTTCAAACGGGGAAGTCTCTTACTGCGAAGTGAGTGGGTACGCTACACCTGGAGGGTCAATACCACAGAGTTGATGGATACAGGGTGCCCAAAAACTAGAGTCAGCAACACTAGTTCGAACTGCTTTGCGTAGAGAAGGCTGAAGAGTTTGATGAGGGGCAGATTTTGTGCGTAGCCATGTGCCAGTGCCATTTGCCCCAAGAAGTTGGAAATGAACAGAAGATAAGGGACAGAGGCTGAACCAGAGATAGACTGTGCTGTTGGGGGAACTTAGGGTTGTGTCAGTGTCCACAAGCCCCGATGGAAATGACTGGATTGCTACACCGTAAAGTGAGTGGGTACACTCCATTTAGAGGGTCAATGCACAGTCAATGGTACACAAGAAATGTTGTGCCAGTGGTGGGGTCAGGGTTATCATACGCTTTAGCAAGTTAGCAATGAAGACAGAATAAATTTTAATTGGACCAGAAATGGAAAGCTATCTATGTACAGCAAAGCAGCAAGGTCTCAAGTCGACACAAATCGTGCAATGCATGATGGCGCTATGCGCTTTCACAACCTAGCTAGGAAATTGTAATTCACCCGTAGATAACCCGTTCGGAACTTGGTACCGCTGAGCTGTTCAACTAGTCAACGGGAGCTTGAACAGATTATCGAGAGGGAGAGAAATGGATGGAAGAGATTTGGAAAGCATCCGACGAAGTCCGGACTCAATACATGTTGTATAACACCCGATGGCGCTGGGCGCTTCCACCATCTAACAAGCTCTAACAAGCGAGGAACGAGCTCCATATTGTTAGAGCGTCTGTCTACGAGAGACTACTTCCACCACCTGTACAATAGAAACACATGCAGCTACCGTGGATTCCCCGTTCGATTCGGGGTTCACGCTTCGACAGTTTGCCTTTTTCTGTTTCATTTGTCCTCATCAAAGGCCGAGTTAATACCGGCTCGCTGCGGGAAAGGAGGTGGTAAAATTGGTACCGCTGGGCTGTTCAACCTACTGCAAGTCTACAACAGGAACAACGGGGAGAATGAACCAGATTGTGTTGAAGCCCAGGCACTAGATCTAGAAACTCGACAGAAAACAATCAACCAAGGTCTTATATGAATACAGGTGGTGTAACACCCGATGGCGCTGGGCGCGTCCACCACCCGTACAGAAGAGTCCTGTGGGACAGTGGATTACCCGTTCGATCCGGGGTCGGGTACTGGCAGGAGACCGCTTTCCTTTTTACAGCACAGGAAAGGCCGAATTAATACGGGGATGTTTGGTAATCTGATTGTTCAACCCACTTCAATAGGAACAACGGCGAGCGTGAAGCTGAATTGTCTTGGACTCGCGGGCACCAGAGGTTCAAAGATCATATCCACATAGCCTTGTGTGGATACAAGTGGTGTAACACCCGATGGCGCTGGGCGCGGCCACAAATAATCGTATATGAAGATGACTTTCCATGGATCTCCCATTCGATCCGGGGTCGGGCACTGCCTTTGACCATTCGCCTTTTTCTTTTCTCTATGCAACAGCACAAGTAAGAGTTGATACGGGTATGCTGCAGGAAAGGAGGTAGGAAACTGGGCTGTTCAACCCACTTCAGCAGGAGGAACGACGAGTGAAACTGAATTGTGTTGAATTCGCGAGCGCCAGAGATAAAAAGCATTGCCGCAAAGTCTTTGGTGAATGCAGGTCGTGCAACACCCGATGGCGCTGGGCGCAATCACAAATAATCGTATATGAAAATGATTTCATGTGGATCACCCGTTCGATCCGGGGTCGGTACCTACGGCTTGAGACCACATTCCCTTTTTTTCGTCTTCGCCACAGACTGCAGCCGAGTTGAAACCGGTATGTACATGTTGTAGGACACCCGATACCATTAGGCCGCTCGTACTCTGTCAACAGGAAGGTGGAGAGAATAAATATGACGGTATTTATCGTCAAAAATTATGTACGATTTACTCTGTACGTTGTGCAGTGCACGGGTACACCAAAACGTGCACAAGTGCTTGGTTTTGTGCACTTTTATGGTGAGAATGTACATAATAGGATGCACATTGCGCGGTGCGGTGCACAATGCACATTCTACCGGCCACATGGAACATTTCTAAGTGCACTGGAGGCATCCCTGGTGTACTTGCACAGTTAAAATGTACGCGCTGTTCGTCGATGTGCAGGGATTCGACCTTGCACAAATGGGTTCAATTGATGTGATCAAAGTTGAAGTGTTGTCGTGAAATGGCGCGGATATCAGCTCCCCAATTTATTTACTTACCGTCGGTCTGGATCCTTCATTATGTCGTCTTGGATCGACACGTTTATTGGGTTGGCACATCGGTTTCCTTTTGCTGAATCACTGTTGAATTATTGGATAGAAAGTATCATAGCATTTCACCGAGATTGAGCATCTCAGCCATGATATTAAGAAGAGTTGATGAGTTGGAACTAACTGATCCGCACGACACTGCCGGAATTATCTTGCCGTGATTACAGCTAATGTCAGTACCGAAGGCGCGAACGAAAAATTTCCCATTTGGGACGTTTTCGAAGAATTACCAAGAACTCAATAGGTTCTTGACGGATTCAGTTGAAAATTGGATAGATCGCTCAGCGTAATTGGTGCGCAATTAGTGATAGAGTAAGATGTGCCAAAACAACATTTTTTTCCATTGCCTGAGAATCTGGGCTCCCGCCCGAGAATCCTATTTAGGACACCGAAATCAAACCCGGTGAGCCTAGTTCGTTGAGAGGAGGACTTGTTAGCCCTTCTTTGTGTTGTCATAGAGCCAAAAGTGTGGATATTCCGGTGCTAACAGTGCTCGGCACATTTACAGTAATGGTATCATTCCAATTAGTTCAAACTACCGATGTTCAGAGGAGATCCACTCACAAAAACGGTTCAAGGAGACGTTATATAGTGATATACGACGTCCCTGAAGGTTCAGGTTCATTATTGAACAGGGTGTGGGCTTACAAAACCGAGATTCATGGTCTGGTGCTGGATTCCCCGGGGACTTGAAAATATGGTATTTTGATGGAGGTCACTCTATCACTAATTGCGCACGAATTAGCGCGAATTAACTGGCTGGTTGTCAAGTTCATATGTGGCAAAGTCAGCGAGATACAGGCAATTCTTTCGCGGGGATCAAAATTTGCCCAAAACAGCAATTTTCGATTCGCGCCTTCGGTACTGACATTAGCTGTAAACCACGGGATCGCTGCTGTGCACCCGATAAAAGTGGGATGTTGATGGGTACATGTGCACAGTGGTGAGCTGTGTGTTGACTTACACAATGTTCATATTTTTCGACGAAAAAAGCTTTTGTAAATAATTCAGAGGGAGAGAAATAGACATGCATACGAGATCTGGAAAGCATCCAACCAGCTCCAGACTCAATTCAAGTCGTCGAACACCCGATGGCGCTGGGCGCGTCCGCAGAGTCTAATTCTGGAAGGCCAACACTTTTCGGTGGGTCACCCGTCCGATTCGGGGTCGGGTCTCCATTTGGGAGTCAGATTTTTTTTAGGTCTGTCACTTGGCGAATTGCGGGAGGCAAACTCGGGGCGCAGCACGCATCTTGACCGTCGGGTAGAGCCGAGGCGAGTGTGTGTAATATGCAACTGTTCATTTGGGTTTCCGAAGGAGGACTGAGAACATCAAAAGGAAGCCAGAAACAAAACAGATTCCCGCTAGCCGATTTGAACGACTGACCTCGTCATAAAAGCAGACAATAATTTCCATACTAGTGACGCGCTCTACCAACTGAGCTAAGAGGGATGATGGCCAAATTGGCGTCCGTGAGGGGATGGTGTGGTTCTGCCAGGTTAACCAACCGTTGACCTTGACATGGCAAAATGTTTTTGTAGTACAGGATTGAGGCCTCCACCTGCGCGCATCTGATATGCAACGGACCATCGTTGCCTCTGTTTTTCATTACCGTCTCCGCCGCTCTGATTGCCTCGCCGTCAAGCGGGACTGTGTACATACCTCGTAAGATCGCCGGACAAAAGGACTGACAAAGGCAAATCATGCAATGTGTTATTCGTCAGTCCCCAGATAGCCCTGATTTCCGCACAAGCCAGATGGACGTTCCCGTGAAAACCGCGTAAGTTGATCTCGGTCCACAAGTTGAACCTTAAGCTTCAATCCGAGCACAGTCAGTCCACAATCAGTGTTACTTACAAAAAATCTCCGCAGATTACCGAGCCTCAGCACAATAAATGGAGCCTTGTCGCATCCAACTTCGCCGCCCAGTTTCATTTTGGTTCGTTTTTCCGCAACATCACGGAATCCACCGACATCAACGGAACCACCGAGTTCCCGGACCCGCAACAGTCATCCGCTAAACTTTTGCTTTTTGCTCCCTCCCACAACCCTCGCACCAACTCGAACTACAGCCCCTCAAACCAGCAATGCAGACCCCATTCTCAACTACGGAATCGCCCTGGGCCCGTCCGTCGTTCCATCGGTGAGCAATCACGTACATTTCCATCGTGTTCCTCTGACGAATTTTCCGTGCCCAGGGCCGAGTCGAACGCGCTTCTC